GGATGAGACAAAAATAATTAGTCTCATGTTTGGTGTGTCATGGGACAAAAATGAGATGTGACAACATGAGACAAAAGTAAGATTGGGTGTGACTATTCTTGAGTTTTTTTGTTCCACCAAAAAAGGTAGAACAACATGGGACTAAATTTGAGATTACAATCAGTTGCCCTTATTATTTGATATCAAAATACAAACCTAATTTAATTGCATCCACTTTCTTCTCTTCCACAGCCTTCATTCTTGAAATGTTAAACTTTTGACGTTGGCGTGATAAATGTTATTTACAATTATTATGTTTAAACTTTTTAAATTATGTGCGTATTTAAAATTTATGGTATGACAAATATTATTTACATGTCGTCTCTGAATGTTAAAAAAATTGATATCATAGATTAAATAATTTAAATATATTTTTGGTTGATTTATTGTCATTTACAATCATTATATGATATAAAATAACATTGAATAACATTTAGGGGTAATACTGTCGTTTTAACAGTCTAGTCTTGTCTTGTCATATCCTGTCCCGTCCGTCCGTCATGTTCTGTCTTATCCGATCTGCGTACCAAACACTACCTAAAAGAACTAATAACATTTACGACAGATATTCATTCTTAAAAACTTAATAAAAAAATTTGAATTATATAAAACACGTTATACATAATTAAGTTTACTCATTAGGTGATCCCATCCATTCCTTAATTACAAGCCATCGTGCTCCCATGTAATCAATCAATCATCCACCATTCTCTTCCAACTTATTCATTCAGCCAAATACTTTATACATAATTATTACTATAAAATGGGCATCCACAATCACCATAAACAAACCCACTTGATTCAATTAACAATCAAATTGAAGAGCATGGAGTCCACTGCCACCATATTCTAGCTATCGTTTTGCTACTGTCGGCGGTGATGGTGGTTTCCACCTCCGCCGGTGGTGGTTATGGAGTTGCTCCGGCCACAAAGCCTGCTGCTGAGATCCCTTATTATAAGATGACCAAACAGAACGAAATCTCCAAACCCATTGCAATTCAAGGCCTTATATATTGTAAATCCGGATCTAAACTTACCCCACTTAAAGGTATATCAATCAAGTGTTTTTATTTATATACCGTGTTTATTGTAATAGGCGAAGGATCTTGGGAGAACGAGAGTTAAGGTGGCAAGCGTAAGAAAGGATCTCTGCAGTTGATTACTTTTAATCTCAAACTCACCCATTAATCTCATTTGATACGGGTATTGTTTCTGTGCATCTCGGTGCATCTCATCCTAATGTGCATCTAAGGATGGAGATACTTTCTTACACTTCTCACTTTAACTCTCATTCTTACCGGAGCACAACCCTATTATAATATTGCATGATAGAATTTAAGGTATTGTATTACATATACTTGTTTCGTAGTAATAGAGTAAATTACGTTTTTCATCCCCATGGTTTGTTAAAAATTGCGGATTTTGTTTTTGTAGTTTTCAAATTTCAATTTTCGTCTTTATCGTTTGCAATTCATTTCTATTTTCATCTTTGATACCAAAACACCACTTTAAAGTATCAAGGACCAAAACAGAAATGAACTATAAACCTTAGGGACGAAAAAAGCAATAAATTTTAAATCACAAGAACGAAAAAGGTAATGAATTATAAACCATAGGAATGAAAATCGTAATTTCAAAACCATAAAAACGAAAATAGAAATTTTCAGCAAACCATAGAGACTATAAAAGCAATTTGTGGAGAATTTTTTTTATTTGTATTTTTTTGTTTCATAATGTGAACCACAAAAAAGTTTCACATCAATTTTTTAAAGATTTGAACACATACATAAAACAATATCTTAAATCATAGCTTTTTTACAAAGAAAAAAAAATCATATAAAAGATAACTTAAGCTTGATTCTCACTTGTTTGTCACATTTTTGTACTTTTCATTTCATTGCCCCTATACAAAATTTGATAGTCTTTGTCTAGCTTATATGGGGTTCGTTCGGCATTAACTTATTAGCATTTGGATTATTGTGTGTATCAGGAGCCATAGCAAGAATAACTTGTTTGGCAAGAAACCGCAAGGGGTTGGAACTAGCGCCATTCTCAATCGTGAGTTGCCCGGCTGATAATAAGGGCTACTTTCTAGCAAAATTGTCCCCTCCATCCATGAAGTTCTTGAAGAATGTCGATTGGGAGCTCGAAGAGTGCAAGGCCTTCCTCAAGAGTTCGCCATTGAAAGACTGCAAGATTCCTTTAGATGTTAATGGAGGCATTACGGGTGCCCATATTGTTTCTTCTTCGTCTCATCGACTCCTTAAGAACGCAAATCTTTATTCGCTGAAACCCTTTTTCTACATGAGCGGTCAACCTCAAAAGGTCTCCGACGACAAGGGATATTAACAACTCCTTCGAAAGATCGGTGATTCTATTACAATTATCTAACGCTTGTTTTTTCCCTTTTTAATTGAGCGTAGTTAATTTGTTGTTCATGTTCTTCTCGTTTGCTTATTTTCTGTGATAAAAAAGAGGATTGCAATAAGTATACGTGGGTTGTTTGTGTTATAATTTCAACTATATTTTTTTTTATCTTTCCTGAAAAAAAGATGATATTGTGACTTTGTGATGCAATGTTTAGGTTTACAAACTTTTTGAAAACATTAAATCTTAATGGATTAGAAACAGTTTTAGGAGCCATTTACCAAATGCTTATTTATAAGCAACATTCTCGGTCATCAAAATAGATTGTTGATAAGCATGCTTACTCGATAAGATTCTCTATCTCTTGTCATCTTTACCTGATAAGCATTTACTAAACAGTCCCTAAATCATATACGAGTTCAAAGTGGGTGAGCGGAATTGAAACAATATTTCTGCCTGATTATGGGAAAGTTGCAACATGTTCTATTTTCTGAAGTATCATTTTTATTAAGATTTTGCATATCGTCTTTATATTGTTTTGATGAAATCAAAACTATATTCAGATTTTAAACATTATAGGCATGTTTATATTCAAAATTTGCATGATTTGTTTTTTGTTTTGAGACATTTTGAACATTATAGGTCATGTTTATTAAATTACTAGTTGGGTATCCGCACAATACGGCGGGAGCCATGAATTTTAACGTTTTTAAAGTTTCACTGTTTTTATAAGATAAGATTTAACGATGATATATGTTACACTTGGTCTTTACATATTAATACAATTTGAATAAATAAGAGTTATGGTTCCAATTACAGACTATCGATGAAAAAAAATGTATTACAATTTAAAATCCAACATATTTAAACGACTCCACAAATGTGTTCGATTTACACCAAGAGCAAAGAACCAAGAAACATGAGTTTTAAGATAAACACTCAAAACCAATAAATAAAACTATAAATTTGACAGATCATAAGCCATGAAAAGACCAAAAAAGATGGGTTTTAGAATGAAATTTCAACTGCTTACCCTTTTTCTTGTCCAAAAACTCAGATTAAGGTTGAATTAATACATGTATATATATATTTCAAAAAAACCAAAGAACATATTAATTCAGAACATATTATACAATGCAATTTAGACAGCCTAACCCCTAAAATATATAGTATATATATATATATATATATATATATATATAAATAACTATAAAAGTATAAACCGTAAATATTAAAAATATTTTTTCACGGTATATATAATATATAATAATATAATTAAGTAAAAAACTATTCAATATTGGACTCATTTCGAATGTATTAACGAGACGATTATAATGGTGTAACTTGTTAAAATAAAAATGTATTTTTTAAACATATTTTAATTGATATACAATTATGTATATTAATTTGATAAATGTTTAAAATGAAACATTAAAAAGTAAAGGACGTAAAGTAAATTAATTAACTAATTATAAGAATATAAAATGTAAATTTAAAATTATAATTTAAAAAAAATCAAGGTTATGTGAGGGGGTGAGTGTATGTGAGGAGATGAGAGGGTGAAAAAGTGAACAAGTAATATAAAGGGTATCTTGGTTTAAAACTTTTGTTAAATTTGCTTTATAAGATAGTATAGATATATAACAACATTTACCTTCACAAAATCAAATTTTGTGTCAATTTACACAACCAGATCTAGAAATCTCGTCGATCTGGATCTAGTCAAGTGGACACCGTATAACACAACGAAACAAAACTATACAAAAAATGCCGTTATGCTAGATTAATTATGTTTTTGTGGTAGCATGGGAAACATTGAGCAAAGGGTAAATCTTCAAAAACAAAAGGGTGTGTGAATTTACATGTATGATTTACACATCTTCTGATTATGAGCATTAGTAAGAACAAATAAGAGCAACTGGACTATAAAAGAATATGAGATAACTCAACTATGAATGGACAATGGTCTAATTCACAAATCACCCACAATTCTCCCCTCTGCTTCCATCAGATGTGAAACAAACAACAATTTTAAAAAGCAAGAAACACAAAATAGTTACATACGGCGAATGAACTCGCACACCCTATTCATCTTTGGTGAGATCTCGCCTCATGGGAAGCTTAGCTTTTACTGCTAAACCAGATACTGCTAGGCCAAAGGCCCTTTGGCTTGTTTGCATACTAGCTAGCTTTTAGAACAGTACTTAGTGGTTTCATCAGCCATATTAGTTATTTAACCACAAACATCTCTCCCAAATAACAAATAGATGTGACAAACAGCTTGAAAGATCAATGTAAGAAATGATATACTACATGCTGTTTAGCCCAAATAACACAACTTCAATTTTCATACCCTGGAAATGCAAGAGGATAGATTATATTGCAAATAGCGACTTCCTAAAACACTTCTCACATCAGCTTTGAAGTTAATAATTCAAGCAACAAGCAAGATTCAAGTTCACACTTTTTATCATTTTCTGCTTAAACTTTTTGCAAGCCAGACCTTCACAGAAACAGCCACTCTACCCCTCATACCCTAATTCCGAGTGTGTTATACCAGGTTCAAATTTTATAGTATATGATGTAAAATATCAAGGGCAAACTTGCACGACATGATCAAGTTGTAAGAAAACAAACATTAGGAACAATGTTACAAATCAATATGGCTAATAGCACAGAAAGACTGAAACTTTTGTCGTAGCAAACAATGATTTTGAGTTACATGCTACAATAGAAAGAATACTTCAAACCACCTACTTCCCCAAGCAAATTGAAAAATAGAAACACGCCTGAAAACCACAAAGCATAGATCAGTTACATGTATAAACTCCACTTTCATACCTGTGGGCAACCTCATAAAAGTCTGTCTTGCCCTCAGAAGCAGGCTGCAGAGAGATCCCAGACAATGACTTTGCTCCTTGACAAGTAAATTTTACATAACCAACAACCTCAAGCTCCTCCCCACCATCTTCTTCACTAGTATCCACCGGCATCCTCGCTCTCAATCTAACAGGGTTTCCTTTTAAAGGAATCTCTGGAACATGCCATTGTAATTCTCTCTCAGACCTGTTCAGTACAGCTTTTGGTGAGACCTTCAAGAGTCTTGGGTCCACCGGAAGTTTAATAATAAATGTTACATCAGTCAGGGGAACAGGCAAATCTGGGTTTGACACATATTGGATCATGACAGATAGCAAAGTCCCACTATGACGTTTAACCAGTCGAACTCTCAGAGGCAGAGGAGTTGCACGAGGCAGCAAGCTATACTTTATGACAGGTATAGGCTGATCTGAAGGGGCTGTCCTAACATGAAACATTTGGTTGCCAAGGCTGCTTACACAAGAACTGTGCATAACAAATCTCTTGACACCATTTGTACCTTCAACCCTGAAAGAGAACTCAGTCTCTGCATCACCAGAAGATTTAGGAGGCAAAGTTCTCATGTAGACCGTGCCCATTAAACCAACTCTAGCAAGCAGAGATTCCCTAAATTCTGCATTGATCTCTTCTAAAATGAACATCTCAGGACCTTTCATTTCAGATTTTTTCACTACAAGGTCTTCAAGAGGAGTATCGGCGCCACTTGCAGCTTTAGCAGGGGCATCACTGGTTCCCAAGAATTCAAGCCCGCCAAGACCTTCGGGTTTTGCTACTTTCTTTGAATCAACAAACTCTGATGCATCCAAACCACCACCCCAAGCTTGATTTATACCTTCAAAATCTTCAGGCAAACTAGAACCATCTTTACTAAACTCTATGCCACCATAATCCCCTTCAAACCCTTCAACACCAATATGAGTTGACTCAGTGGCTGCAGCTGGCGGTAATGTAGTGACCTCAAGGCCTGACAAAACTATCGACAAATCAGAAGATTGTTCCTTGTCTTTCTTGAACCCACTAACAAGATCAACAGGTTTGTTAAGATTATCACTAGCAGCAAAAGGATCCTTCTCTGCCTGGTCATCATCTTTTTTAGCTTCATCCTGTTCAATAGGTGGGCCCTGCTCAGTCCGGGCAAGTGTAGCTGCCACCTCATCACCAGCCTCCAAGGTCTCAGGAGGCAGCTCAAAACTAGCATTTGAAAAGGCAGCCTCACTTGATTCATGCTCAGCAGAATGAACTTCTACATTGTTCCAATTATCAGCCCCCCTAATCTTACTCTCTGTGCTTAAAGCAGAATGCACCATTTTGGCTATGCTATCCCCGTGCAAAGAAGCAAGCATTGCAGCTAGCCTGATATTACTGACACCCCTCAAAACAATATCCAGTGCCATATATATCTCTGCGTATTTCCTTCCAAGTTTCTCAGGCGTAACATCAACACCACGACAAGCAGTAACAACCACACTCACCGCCTGGTTAACAATACTAATACATTCGAAAACATTGTTTACACAATCATCATCAACCGTTGTGATCCCCAACACATAAATAGAATTCACAAGCCTGTAAACAACACGGTACCGGCTCTCAACACCCACAATAACTTGTCCACTGGAAGCTGCCAGGGGGTCATCCCCTAAAGAGGTGTCACCATCCTCCGCATTCTGATTCTTTCCGGTGGCAAAAGCAAGACGGGTCTGTCGAAAAGCTGAAAGGGCGACCAGGGCACGTGCCGGGGGAAACCACTCGCGTGTTTGGAGTAGGATATCGGATCCATTCGTGGGTTGTAGGGATAAAGCTAAACAGGACATGTCTGTGTAACCCTAACCCTAGATTTATTTAGATCTAGGGTTTTGATTGATGAATGAATCAACGATCAAAAACTGAATTTGATCGGATCAGTTCAATCTTCCGAATTGATCATGTGATTGTAATTCAGGTGAATTGTACGTGATGCTATATTCAAAGTAACGATCGCATATACAGTTCAAAATTTTCGCGAAGGAATGAATCTGAAGTTGAAATTTTGCAATGATTTGGTTGAAATTAAGATGCGTATAACTACGTGGATAAGAAACTAACTTACTGTTTCAGCATCTGAAGTTTATATGCATCCTGGAAGATCAATTGAGGTTTTGAGATTGATTGTTGCAATGAATATCGAAGAGAGAAGAACAGACAGACAGGTCCTGAGGAAACAACTGAAATCAGTCGGAGCCGATTCGAAGGAAATATTTCCGAATTTGGGCTTTTAGTGGGCCTCTTATTTTAGTCGCTCTGGTTTGTTAAAAAATTTCTAATTTCGTCCTTGTGATTTAGAAATTACAATTTTCTGTATTTTTCACGGTTTTTTTTTTAATTAATTCCTATTGTTAAGTATAAGAGATCAAAACAATAAATAGTTGTAAATTACAATAATAATAAATTAAAAATTATAAGAGCAAATTTAGTAATAAATTACAAACTATAAAAACGAAAACAATAATTTATAAACCATAAGGCATAACATTGTTGTTTTTAATAAAACCAAAAGGACAAAAACATAATTTACTCTTCTTATAATTTTTTTGAATTCAAAAAAAAAAAAAAAAATTACATTCATCTTCGATAGTTGTTTTCATTTTAGAGAATACAATATTAGTTATTATTAAAATGAGTAAACTACACTGTTGGTCCTTGTGGTTAGGTGGGAATCTAGATATGAGCCATCTTCTAAAATAAGTACATTGGGTGTCCCTCTAGTTTGCATTTCGTTTCAAAAATAAGTGTACTAGACGTCTCTGTGACGCTAACACCCTTATAAAGCAGTCAGTTAGGTGCAACATAGTCATTTTATTTATTCATTAAAAAAAATAGAACCCAATCATATGGTACCATGTGTCCATCATTCTCTTTTTTTTTACGATAATTTCTCTTTGACTACCCCTCCCACTCTTTCCTCACCAATCCACAGGTACAACATTAATATAATACTATAAAAGTACTCGTGCAATGCAGCGAGACACATCTTGATTTTAATGTTCT